GATCTTACTTTTAGTTTATAATATTTTAATACTCTAATTTTTAACCTAATTTACTTTTTAAATGTTTTTACTTAACTTTATTTTATGTGATTTGGTGTTATTGCCTTGGATGTCAGGTCCTGTGGAACTGGAATTACAGACAGTTGTGAGCTGCTGTGTGGGTGCTGGGAATTGAACCCGAGTCCTCTGGAAGAGCAGCCAGTGCTCTTAACCCCTGAGCAATCTCTCCAGCCCCTTAATCTAATTTTATAAGGCTTTGTTGATATTTTCTGTATTTTAGCACTGTATTAGGTTGGTCATATGAAATTGTCAATTTGTAATATTTGAGATAATATTGATAGTTGAAATTGAGATAAAAATTTACTCATTACTAATTCAACATTTGAAATAACCTATATGTTCACAATATACTGCATAACTCAAACCCAATGTGATGATGTATATTTGAATTTAATGCCTTTATCCAAAAGTAATTTAATCAATTCTCAAAATGTGCTTATATTTGCACTATCCACAAACTAGTTAATTTCTAATGGCTTCTGGACCTACTGTAAAAATAGTATTATAAAGATATGATTGAATTGGGAAACCTAGAGTCAGACCAAAGCCCTCTCTCTCTCACTGTGGCTCTGGCCCAGGGTAAGGCAGAAATACACACGTGACAAGTGGGGAGTAGGACAGTCACCATTACCCAAGGCAGACAGAGGTCTGAGGTTGACTCTTGTTTGGTTAGTTAGTTGGTTTTGGTTTGGGGAGGGGGATTGATGGGGAATGTACTACTGTGTATGTTTATCTTATTGATTGTTAAATAAAATACTGTTTGGCCAATGAAACAGCAAGTTAGGCAGGACTAGGAGTCAAAGAGGATTCTGGGAAATGTAGTAGAGAAGTGATGATGCAGACAGGAAGTGACATAGCAAGGAGATTCATAGTTAAGCGAAGGAGAAACAGGAAGGGCCCTCTTTTCTGCTCCTGCTCCAGCAGCACAATGTGATCCACCGGCATGGAGGAAAGCCAATAAGGCGTCCAATAAGATAAGTCTTATAAAATATATAGTTTATGATAGTTAAGACTGAGCTAACAGATGAGAATCCTAGTCATTGGCCAAGCAGCTTTGAACCTAATACAAGTTTCTGTGTATTCATTTGGGCCTAACTCGGGCGGGCTGCTGGCGTAAAGCTCACATGTGGCGGTGGGGTTCAGGCAGCTTTTGGCGGGAAGATTTATCATAACAGGGGATTGTTTGTTTGGGTGTTTTTTTTTTTTTTCAAGACAGAGTCTCTCTGTGTAGACCTGGTTGTACTGATCTCAAATTCAGCGATCCACCTGCCTCTGCCTCCTGACTACACTACTACACGGGGCTGAGGTTGGCTTTTTAACATCAGTTCTATGTTTGTGAGTCAGAGTCTTACCAGGACCAATGGTTACTGCCTACCAAATGCCAGCAATATTTGCTACCTTTCCTAGCAACCACAACTGGCTCGACATATTACCAAATTTCTATGGAGCAAGAGTTGAGATTGTCAGGTTGGGGAGTGAAACTGCCCCAGTTAAACACTACTGTCTGGATGTATTAATCTTTGCATATAAAATTCTCTGCTCCTTTCAAGGACAAACAGCTGCTCTGATTTCTTTTAAGTTGAACTTCAAAACCCCAGGCTGAGTGAGTTCTTGGAATGATTTCAAAGTCTGCCTGGCTGCTATAGTAATAATAATTTACTAGCTACATGGGGTGAGGGATCCTGCTTGTGATCTGAAAGACAGAATTCAGAGCCATCATCTTGGGTTCTATTACTACCCTACAATTAACTCTTTATGTCTCAGTTTCACTGTTTTTCAAGTGAGAGCAATTGTACCTCACCCACATTGTAAACATTTGCCTGTGAGGACAGGATGAACAAAGCTAGGATAGTCTTCTAATAGACACCAAACAAAACACTAACAAGTCTCCACTGTCTGGGGAAAAAAATAAACAGAAAAACAACAAAACAAAAACACCCATAGCACATTAACAGAGGTGTCAGGATGATTCAGTGGGGAAAGGTGCTTGCTGCCAAGCCTGATGACTTGAGATGGACACCTGTCGATCACCATGGAAGGAGGGACTTCTCAAAACTGTCCTACCACTGCACATGCGCATCACATCATAAAATTAATGACAACTTTGAAGTGCTCCATGTGCTTTCTTATTTTTAACTGCAGATGATTGTCTTACTAGTGTAGGAGTGGGATTATTTCCCACTAAAAAACACCAGCAAATTGCTAATGCTGAACAGAGAACAAATGTGATCTGACATCTAGGATGCTTCCTGTAGCCACAGGCTTCAGACATTCTGATGTGCTTCTTAGCCCATGTGGCTGCAGTGACTTTGGTGGTGTCAACAGAAACAAATGAGAGCCTTGTCAGAGGCTCCATGGATGAAAAGCCTAGGACAGATGAATCCAAACTATCTGTGAGTGTGGATGCTATAATAATTGAATTAGCTTTAGGATTTTAGGACCCCATGGAATGAGAGGCCAAGACACGAGAGAAGAGTGAAAAGGGAAACTGCAAGATTGCCAAGATAAAATGTCAGTCACTTGAAAATCTTCCAGGGCATGAGAAAGTCAAAATGTTGCTAATTTTTCTCTTCCTACTTCCTGTACTAAATGACTTACATCAAAACTCAGTTTATTAAGATCATCAAAGTCAAGTGAGCCACAGGTTCTATGAATAATTTTATTGGTAGAAATAAAGATTAATTTCTAGATTTTCTTTCTTTCTTAAGTAGTAGCTGGAAAGATGGCTCAGCAAATAAAAGCACTTGTTGTGAGTTTGATCCCTGTAACCCACAGTTGACAAAGAAGACAGACTTCCAGAAGCTGTCCTTTGACCTTCGGATACATTCCAAATGAGCACACCAGGACTCATATCACACACACACACACACACACACACACACACACACACACACACACACACACAACATAAATATATGTTAAAAATAAAAGTAATAAATGAAACAAGTAAATATTTCATTCCAATATAATCTGGATTGTGACATCTGATTAAGAACTTTACGTGTTTAAAGCTTTTTTTAACATCGTTTTGGAAACTGCTTCTCTTTAGTTACAAAGCACATCCTGTGTGCTACCACTTAACACTTGAGCATATGCCTAATGGAAACTGATACACATCCTAATTTTGAAATTTCCAAAGAAATGTTTGTATGCTCTTAAATTTGTGGAATCTCTAAATAGAAGGGTCATAATTACAGTGGTTCTGTGTCTTCTCTCTCAGGATTGCCATTTGTGCTCTATCTGTCTTCAAATGTACTGAGTGTACTTGGAAATCCCAAAAGCAGTTGTTAAAATGCTCTTTCTGTAACTTCCCCAGAACAAGCTTTTCCAGTTACTCTACTCCCCCTTACTCAAAGGCCTCTTCTAGTTGCCATCCCCCCAAATTAAATATTCTGCATCTTTGCTAGTGACAAAGGTAGGCTTGGTTTTATGTTTGTAATTTGACTTATCAATTTAGTTGTGTGTCTGGGTGTGTGTGTGGAGGTCAGAGGACAGCCTGCAGGATAACTAGGTTCTCTCTTTCCACATATGAGTCTGGGAGATCCAACTCAGGCTATCAGGCTCAGTGGCAAGTGTTTTCATTCACTGAACCATCTCATCAGTCCTGGGTTTTAAATATTTTAAAGTAAATTATAGGTAAAAACTGCATTGTAAAAAGAAACAAAAAAAGAAAAACCAGGTGGTGGTGGCAACAAGGTGGTGGTGGCACATGCCTTTAATCCCAGTACTTGGGAGGCAGAGGCAGGCGGATCTCTGTGAGTTTGAGGATAGTCTGGTCTACAGAGTGAGATCCAGGACAGTCATAGTGGTTACACAGAGAAACCCTGTCTCAAAAAAAAAAAAAAAAAAAAGAAAGAAAGAAAGAAAAGGAAGAAAAAAAGAAAGAAAAGAAACAAACAACCCTAAAACTATTGTACATACTATAAAGCAATAATACAGAATTTATGTTTCCCATTAAAAACAATTTTATTAACAAACTCTGGCTGCAAAGATGGCTAAGCAAGTAAAAGCACTTGCTGCCAAGTCTGAGGACCTGAGTTCAATCCTTGGGACCCACATAGTGGAAAAAGAAAACCAACTCCTGCAAGTTGTCTTCTGACCTACATATGCCCATGCTGCTCTGGCCTTTCTCTCTCTCCTGCCCCCTCTCTCTCTTACACACACACACACACACACACACACACACACACACACACACACACACACACAAATAACTAAAACTTTTCTTAAATGAATAAACTCAAATGACCTTTTTGTTATGTGAGACATAAGCTTTAATTCAATCCCATTATTCATTTCTTCCCAAATATATCAACCAACTAGAAGTATTAATTCCATTATTCAGTATGCATCCCATCATACCTTACTATTTACAACAGAGTCTACAAATAGCCTGTTAGAACCCTGAGTGTGCAGCAGCACAGCCCTGCCTGGCGACTGTATGCAGCAACGGCAGCAGTTCAACCTGATATGTGTTGGGCTCAGATTAGAGAGATCAAGGGGAATTTGACAGCAAGTTGGTTTCACATGGGACTGGCTAATGATCAGCCCAGTGTCATTTGGAAATAATTTGGGGAATTATGACAGAGATGCTAATATACTACGTAACAATAAGTCTTTATTTCATCCGACCAAGCTCTGTCACCACGTGGGTGCTTTCTGCCAGGCTGCCCGAGTTCTGCCCACCGCCACATTAAGGTCCCAAGTAACACACATATTAGGTACAAATGCTGCTTGGCCAATGACTAGGATTTCTCATTTGCTAGCTCAGTCTTAATTATCAAATCTATAGATTTTATAAGACTTATCTTATAAAGGATGCCTTCCACTGGCACCCTCTCTTGCCAGTGGATCATATTGTGACTCCAGAGCAGAGACCAGAAGGAAGAGAGAAGGGACGACTTCTTTCTTGCCCTTGCTTATATATGAGTCTCCCTGCTATGAGTCACTTCCTGCCTGGATCTTTTACTACATTTCCCAGAATCCTCCTTGACTTCTAGTCCCACCTATCTTGCTTCCTCAAATAAAGGCCAAGTAGTACTTTATTTATTAACCAATAAAAGAGACATATGCAGAAAGACGTCCCCCATCAACACTATATTTATATGAAGCTGCAATGCTGTATCAGGTGGTTCAGGGATCCAGTATGGATCACTTAAATACAATTTTGAGGGAATCTCACATATCTGCTTACAATGATGGATTTCTAAAGACATTCAGTGATTCTGTCTCCTGAAAATTATGAGATGTTAAGAACTGAAATACAAACAAACAAACCTTTAGAGATAGCACACAATTTTTTTTCACACAAAGGCAAAGAGACCAGTAAAGCTCTTTACATCACTAGTAAGTGGCAACATCAGGGCCTGAGCTAAGCCTGTGAGATGCACTCCAGGGCACCACTCACATCACAGGATCATGTTTATTATGAACTCTTCAGGGTAGTCTGGCAATCTGTAGACACGAGGAAGAGCAGATACTGCCGTCTCGAGCCGGAAGACATCTTCCTCTTCAAAGCATCTCATACTTTCTATTGAGATGCCTCCGAGTGCTTGTGCCCACTCACGTAGCAAAGGGCAACCTGATCTCCCCCAAATCTACTGATTTCAATGCTAGTCACACCTTTAAAAAATACCTCACAGCCCTATCTATGTGTGCTTGACCAAATAAATAGGCACATGGCCTACCAGACACAAAATTAGCTATCATTAACCCTTCCTCAATCCACACAGAAAAACAAAGAATTTATATGTCAGATTTTCATTTGGGCTCATTCCATGCTTTGACACATGTTGTTAAAGGCTTCAACTCCCACTTAACACTAGATTTCATAAGACATGAATATCATCTCACTCAACATTTGTTGGATCATAAGAAATTGGATTTGTAGTTCCTTCTGGTCTGCAAAATATGGTTCATGAGTATATCTTGTATAATCTTCACAAGTCACTTTAGTAGCACAAATTTGAGCAGAAACAAGGCTAAGACTGTCACATTAACAGGTAATAATCAAGAAGGATCAGATCCCCTGCCTCAGTGCCATTGCTCATCAAGGGCTAGGACAAGAAGTACCAGGTACTCAAAGACAGCAGAGGTCTTGTCATTTCTAAATCAATCTACACCTGCATGCAAGTTCAGAATTAATCACTGTCCACAAGTAGTGTTTAGGGCTTTTCAAAACTGTTTACTCAATACTAAGTTTACACCTCAGAGAATTTTCATAAAATTTCATAAAATTGTTACCAACATGAAGATATGGGACATGATGGGGGTTGTCCTTCTGTATGTATGTTTCTCTTATTGGTTGATGACTAAAACACTGATTGGCCAGTAGCCAGACAGGAAGCATAGGCAGGGCTATCAGACCAGAAGAAGGCTAGGGAGAGGAAGGCAGATGGGAGCCACCAGAGAGACGCCATGTAGACACAGAAGAGTAACATGCCAGGGTATTACTGGGTAAGTCAAGAGCACATGGAAATTAATTAGATTAATAAATTAAATTAATCAGATTAATAGAAATGGGTTAATAAATAAGAGACAGCTAGCCAGTAAGAAGCCCTAGGCATCAGCCAAACAGTTTATAAATTAATACAAGTCTTTGTGAGTTTATTTGGGGCTAATCGGCTGCGGGACCAGGCAGAACAGAAACTTTCATCTACAGGGACATGATGGTCACCTCAGAAGCCCCTGCACCAATGCCCACACCCTAGTCACCATCTTTCATATAAAGTGAACTGAAGTCTACTCAGATCTTCCCAACTCTGTAAAAATGAAATTCTCCTGCATGTAGGTTTTTGGATGTGGCATCCTGAGTGGCAGATTATATTTATGAGATTAATTTATTTGTTTGTTCAGTTCTGTTATGTTGTATAGCAGCCAACAGTATAAATTAAACACTGTTTATTTATTTGATTATCCAGTCAGCAATTTGAATGTTTTCCAGTTGGGGAGTTCTGAGAGTTGCTTCCAACAACCTCCCATACATATTATGGTTTTCCTATGCATGTGTCCTGTTCAGTGCCCAGACATGAACTACTGGGTCATACATGTGCACACATTCAGCTTTACTGGAAACTGCCAAATAGCTTCCAAACATGACTGTACCAATTTGCACAACCTCAGTCATTGGTGAGATCTTTTGTTCTAGTTAATGTCTCTGTGCAATGTTATACTTTACATAAGTCAATCTACAACACTATAAAGTCTGCTTTCAAAACTTCATAGGAATTTTGCCATGCTGAAGATTTTTTGAGATTTATAACTGTTCAGATATATAGTTTTAATTTGTCTTTCACCACTATACAACATTCCAATGTCTGAAATCTGAATCCTATTGATAATCATTGAGGTGACATCTATTTTTTCTCTATTATAGACAATGACTATAACTACTCTTTGGCCCATGTGTGAGAATTTCTCAGTAATATAAATAGTATACCTTCAGTTATATTAGAGAACTTCAAATTGTTTTCTTTTGGGGTGGAGTTGGAAAAGAGTCTTTATATATTGCCCTGGCTTGCCTCAAATTTGTGATCCTTCCCCTCAGCCTCCAGAATATGTGGGATTATAGTGTGTGTCAAAAAACACTGCTCAAAAATTGCTTTCTGACATGACTGCACTGACTTCCTTTACTACAGATGGGCCCTGAGGATGTCTGTTACTCCTGAGCCTTGCCAACAACTGGTATAGTTATGTTTTCCTACTGTTAATCAGATGAATATGTAATGCTGTTTTTTGTTTTGTTTTTGATTGTTTGTTTGTTTGTTTTTGAGACAGGGTTTCTCTGTGTAGCCCTGGCTGTCTTGGAACTCACTCTGTAGACGAGGCTGACCTCAAACTCATAGGGATTTGCCTGCCTCTGCCTCCCGAGTGCTGGGGTTAAATGTGTATGCCACCATCACCTGGAAAGTATATAATACTCTTAATAACTATTATGAATGTTTTCCAAATACTTAAATTTATGAACAGGAAAACAGTTTCACCTCTGTTTCCATAGCACTGTGTTCCTGTAATCTTGATGTTCTTCATCTAAGTAGGACCCAAGAACCTGAATGGCCATGCTCAGGAATGTCTAGAGCCTCTCTGCAGGGGAAGGTGCCCAGAGTACTTTGTATGTAGTTGTGATAACTGGTAGGGAAGTTAGCTCATGTGTACTTACCTATGTTACCTTCTCCCCAGCTAGAACATGGGTTTCTGGATTGAAAGAGACAGTGTCTATGAATAGTTTTATATTTCTGGAGCCCAGGCCATCATGGACTCAATAAGTATTCAAGGATGTAGGGAAGAAAAGGAAAGAATTAACACACACACTTCTTCTATTCAAGCATTTATGTATCTAGAAACATAAGTAAGGCTTATTTATTGAAATGCAAACCACACATATGTTCTTTTGGATTAACTGTTAGGTGATTTGATAATATGTCTTCAATTTTCAACTTGGACTAATGGCATGCCAGTACCCACTCTTTTATAGCATTTTCTATAAAGAGGAAAACTCACCGAAAACCTTCAAGCACATACTAAGGGTATGGACAAACATGAAACTGATATCAAAGGTAACTTAGAAATCATCTAACCCAAATACCTCATTTTTCAGAAAAGAAAATGGGAATCTTGGTCGTGTTCACACGTGACAAAGACAAAAGCAGAGTTGGCCAGGTTCCCCTGGTGAGGGTGGGGTCACATCTCCCAACAAGATCACTGCTTTAGCAACTAGATCGATAGGTTCTAACTGCAGCCTAGTGTTCATAGCCATCTCCTTCTTTCAGAGCCTTGTCTCTGGCACCCACAAATTTATCAGCACTAGCAATGCACAGGCCTATACATACAGTTTTCACAGATGAGGACTCAGATTTGTTTGCAAGAGGATTGAAGAAGCAAAATAAACTTTTTGGGTCTGGTGAAAAGCAGAAATTCCTGAAAGCACAAGACTAGAGAAACATAGAAAAAGATGCAAATTTTCCCTGTTCACTGCTATGGCTTTCTGCTCACATTACATTGGCCAGTGTTGTCACTTTCTTGTATTAGTTGCATAAATGCTTGTGTCAACTGCAGAAAAAGCTGTTTCTCTGTCTACTTAAAATGCAGTGTTGAAAGAACAGAAACATTCTGCTAAGCAAACATTGTCAACTGTCTAGTGCCTTAGCCATTTCTGATGCTAAATATTTCCTAAATCTGAGAAATTCAGAAGCTCTTGAGGTACACTCTCTTCTAAGCACAAATCTTGAGTAAGTAAGCAACAATGACTCTGTACCCCACATTCCTCATGGTACAGAAAGATGTTTGCTGTATTGAAGAGGTTCCTTGTGATAACCTCTAAGTGACTTCCCAGCACAGCTTATAGGAAAGAGTTCTCTAGGAATAAGCCCAAAGCCATTAGTTGCCTGCAGTTCTCCTGAGAATTTGGAGTGTAAACAATCTCACTGATCTCCCCCTAATCAGGCCAGGCAAATTAAAGGACAGTGAGAGGTGAAGAAAGGGGAAGAAAAGGTGGTAAATGGTGTCAATTCTTCCCTTTCCTGTCTGTGTAACAATGGACAGTAAGTAGTCTCAGAGCCATTTAATGAACTCCTGTCAGCATCTATCAAGAACAGCGTGGTGCATTTTGATATTTTGATGCTCTTGCATTTCTGCTCCTGAATGCCTCAGTCTTGTTAGGAGGAAAAAAAAAAAAAACCCAAGGAATGAAAAAACATCTTTGTTTGTTTGTTTGTTTGGTTTGGTTTTTCCAAGACAGGGTTTCTCTGTGGCTTTGGAGGCTGTCCTGGAACTAGCTCTTGTAGACCAGGCTTGTCTCGAACTCACAGAGATCTGCCTGCCTTTGCCTCCCAAGTACTGGGATTAAAGGTGTGTGCCACCACCTCCCGGCTGAAAAAACATCTTATTGTTGTTCTTTTTATAAAGAATATGGGAGGGAGGTAGATATATAAAAATCATTCTTTTTGCTCCCTGTCACTAACACCCTAGACTAATGTGTCCAGGTGACAGTAGAGCAGGACCATGGTGGTATTTATTTGCGACTAAATTATGTGTCCCCCATAATTCATATGGTGAAAATTCACCCTAACGTCTTAAGAGGGGGTGGAGCCTCTAGAAGATGATTAGGTTTAGATGAGGTCACGTGATGGGATTAGTGCCCTATAAGGAAAAACAAGAGACAGCCCCTCCCTGTACCATGTGAGATTGTTGCAGGATGCCTGTCTGCCAACTAAGAGCAGAACTCTCCCCAGGAACAGAATCTTCCAGCATCTTGTTCTTCAACTTTTCAGCCTCCAGAACACTGCAGAATAAATGTCTACTGAAGCCACCCAAGCTATAGCAGCCCATCCCAACAGCACAGCTGAGAGAGCGCTGCAGACCAGCCACCCAGGTTTTCCTGGGCACATGCCACTCTCTAAATGCTTCTCTGGGGTTGTAGTTAAAGCATCAATAAATCAGATGAAGTTTGATTTACATGTGATTTTTATTCTCTTGGGGGACATCTGCCACAGACCATAAGTAAGCAAGCAAATGATCAAGCGAACACTAGCAAAGGATGCTCTCTGAAGAGGGAACATTTGAGACGAGCAGCAAGGAGAAGCAAGAAGACAGTCTACTGGAAAAACAACTCAAGCACTAGGAAGTAGGCTATCAATATTGTGCCTATGTGTTGGTGGAAGTTTCTGTTCTGCCTGGTCCCAACACCCTTCAGTCTCAAATAAACACACAGAAGCTTCTATTAATTATAAACTCTTTGGCCAGTGGCTCAGGCTTCTTATTGGCTAGCTCTTTTGTAATTATAAACCCGCTTCTATTAACCAGTGAATCTCCATGTGGACTTAGCAGTGATGCCCAAGCCTCTTGCTTCTAAGGCAACTATATGGTGTCTGGCCCGCAACTCACTCTCTGCCTTTCTTTTCCCAGAATTTTCCTAGTCTGATAGGCCCACCTATATTTCCTGCCTGACTACTGGCCAATCAGTGTTTTATTAAACCAATAAGAGAAACATATATTCACAGCATACAGAAGGACATCTCCCATCACCTAGGCAAGATGTGAGACAGCTACCTCGGAGTTATGTCAGTAAAGAATGAAGCAAGTACAAGATAGATTGAGTATCAGCATCTAGATATGGATGTAAGGGCTGGAGAGCAAGACAACTCAGGGAGTCAGCTTCGAATAACAATGAGATGATGATGGCTCCAGAAGGACCACCCTTCGTGCAAGGCTCCCCTTGTACTGCATCCACTACCCATGCAACATCTGTGTGACATCACTAAGTGAAGCCCATCAGCAATTTACTGTGTTCATTTTTAAAATTAACATCTTACATTAGTGTAATTTTATTACAATTAATGTGCCAGTGCTGACAGAGCATTAATACAAACTCACATTTGATTCAGCTTACTCATGCGCCTTTCTTTAAGGATTCCATCCAGAAAGCCACACTGCCTGCAGTCATATTTCCTCAGTTTCTCATGGCTGTATGAGTTCATAAAACTCACCTGTTTTGCTAACCTTTGCAGTTTTGAGGTTATTGAATCAGTGGGGTCAGGACTTTTGCAGTACATCCTTTGATTGGAATTTCTATGCTCTTGGAATCATAACTGGACTTCAGATGTGGGAGTCTACCATATGACTCTCACCATATATGCTAATAGCATAACCAATCATTCTTGTTAGAGGGTCCAAGGTCATCTCATTTATCAATTTCTCTTGTCCATGGCATTCTACATCAAGTCTCACCTACTGTCTCCAGTTCCATTCCTATTCACAGTATCCCCCTTCAGTGTCCTGTCCGCATCACAGTATAAAAGCTGTCTTTTGAGAATAAAGCTATAGCCATATCCTCTATCTAGCCAAATAGCCCCACTTGGGAAAAGAAGCATTGTCTTAGTTGGAAGGTAAGGGCAGAGCTCTATTGTGTTGCTGTTGGCTCTTTTTCTCAATCTGAAGATAAGCTATTTTCTCATTTCTTCCCCTGCCCTAAACTCTGAGTATGTTGTAGCACTCCCTATTCATATCCCTCATTCATTCCATCATCACGTAGTGGTTATTTTTATCAAGCTTTCCTTCATTGTCTTCCTAGGTAACAGAATGCAAAGAATAAGAAAGAGCTTCCTTCATACTCTCAACAAGTATGTGTAGTTGGAGTGATAAGCATAGAAAATAGATAAGTGTAGGATTATGAGGTAGGCATGAAGCATTAGCTCAGGCATATACACATTGCAGACAGAGAAGTTAAACTCAAGACACCCACTGTGGTCTCAGTACTTAGGGGACAAACCCAGAGAAATATTAAATAGGACATTAAGCAGCAGAGGACATAGCACATAAAGAATCAGGCAGTTACTAATCAAGTCATTATGTAGAATTTAGAAAGATTTTATTATTTGTGTGTATGGCTGTGTGTGGTACATGCACATAAGAAGTCCAGGAGGAGGATTGCATCTCCTGGATCAAGAGTCACGGGTATCTGTGAGGCCTGGGGACTGAACTCAGGGTCTCTTCACTGTTGAGCCATCTTTCCAGCTCATGGAATTTTTTGTTTCATTTACATTTATGGAAATTAAACCTAGAACCTTCCACATACTAGGAAATAATATTGAGCTACAACCCAGCCAGTGTGCAAGATTTTCCAAAGATGATTAAGAGCCACACTGAGGCAAAACAGGAAGAAAGCTTGCATTTTGACCCAAAGAACAGCTGTTTTCAATCTGCAGCACTTGAACTCAAAGTAGTGAAATCCAACTGTGATTATTTTAAATAAAACAAATTATTTATTTATTTTAGTTTTTTGAGACAGAGCTTTGATGGAGGAAGTCCTTCTATGTATATGTTTATCTTATTAGTTGATAAATAAAGCACTGTTAGCCAATAGGGAAGCAAGATAGGTGGGGCTAGAAGTCAAGGAGGATTCTGGGAAATGTAGTAAAGAGAACAGTCCCCATGTGATCCTGGCAAGAGGGACGCATGCCGCCGGCATCCTTGGTAAGATAAGTCTTTATAAAATATATAGATTAATGGTTATGGCTGATACTTAGAACAGAGCTAGCAAATGAGAAATCCTAGTCATTGGCCAGCAGCATTGTAAATAACAAGACTCTGTGTGTTGTTTGGGGGCTGTAGCGTGTCGGTGGGCCTCTGGCAGCTGGCGGTAAGAGTTATCCTTACAGAGCTTCTCTGCATAGCTCTGGCTGTCCAGAATTCACTCTGTAGACCAGGCTGGCCTTGAACTGAGAGATCCACCTGCCTCTGCCTCCCGAATGCTGGAATTAGAGATGTGCACCACCACTGCCCAGCTCAGAAATATAATTTTTGTGGACATTGTGTTTCTTTTACTGCAATGTAAGTGTGTGTGCCTGAATTTGCATTGTAAATTATACTTTTCATCACTTATCACCTTTCCACAACTTGTACAACACACTGCTACAAGTTGGTGCTGCAAGATCATGCAACAGGCATTTATTTCAAAACGGTGCTTTTCACACTGTCCATAGATAGTAAAGCATGGTCCTTTTTAAAGCACAAATTCTCTGGTCCCACCCATCCAAAATTCACACAATCAGAATTTCCCAGGGATACCTGGTCACTTGCATTTGTGATGAACACTGAGAGCATGTCTAGGGGGAGCTTAGGAGCCCTAGTTCTCTGACAGCAAGAGAGAAAATAAGGAATGAGAAGTCACAGGTGGGAAGAACAGAGAATGTTACTGCTGCTCTCTCTAGACAAGGCTTGAGCCAAGACAGCAGCAGTCAAGCCTTGAGGATTTGGCCCTTGGACATTTCTGTGGCCGTTGGGAATGGGAGAGATGGAATAGGCTTTGAGGAAGGCAAGTGAGATTTTGTTGTTGTTGTTTGTTTTGTTTTGTTTTGTTTTGTTTTGACATGCTCAATTTGAAACACAATCCATAATGCAGAAGGACATCTGGGTTCACTCTGGAACACAGTGACCAGAGGGGTAATTTCTGAACCCTTGTCAGGAGGTTCAACCATGAAAATGGGAGTTCCCAGCAACATGGGCCACATCTGACTGGTGCCTCCACTCACTCACCTATGCTTCATTCTTTTCTTCTGTGAGAGGTCCTGCCTCTAATCTTTTCCCCCAACATCTTGTCAAAGGACAACCCTCAGCTTCACCATCCTAGACATATTAATCTTAGCATGGTGCCCTAGCCCCTCTTCGTCTTTTCCTGTATTGCGTCTCCTGCCATGGCTCCTAACACTTAGCACAGAATAGGCATCCAGTAGATGCTTGCTTGTGACACCAGCGAAAAATTTAAGAAGAATTTGCCAAATTGTACTTACTAATGTTTAAAGTGCAAATGAATCTATACAGACAATATCTAATGACCCATTATAAATTATTGCTGATATTTCAGGACATAGATGACATAGTACCATCTGACTTTGTTTTCTTATTTTTTTTATTGAGTGTAATAGTTTATAGCTGCTTACTGCTATCTTTTCCATGTCACTGTAAAGAATATGATGTTGTAGGTTAATGGGAGATTTCCTTCTGTATATATGTTTCTCTTATTGGTTGATGAATAAAGCAGTTTGGCCAACAACCAGAGAAGGAGGAAGATAGGCGGAGCTAGGAGAAGGCTGGGAGAGAGGCACTGTAAAAGAGATGCATGTAGCCAGCGAAGGAGTAACAGATCCCGGCATTCTCCGGTAAGCCAAGACCACGTGGAAATACATAGATTAATAGTTAAGAGTTAATAATTAAGAGATCTACCAAGTAAGAAGTCCTAGTCATCAGCCAACAATTTAATAATTAATATAGCATCTGTGTGCTTATTTATTTGGGGCTGAGAAGGGCGGTGGGACTTGGCAGGAAAGAAAACCCGCCAGCAACAGTGGGTGATATAAAAAGGTGACAGGCTGGGTGTGGCGGTGTCTGTGATCTTAGTACTTGGGAGGCAGAGGCAGAGATACTGCTATCAGTTTGAAGTCAGCCTATTCTAGATAGTAAGTTCCAGACCATCCAGTGCTACAGAGTAAGACCCTGCTGGAAAATGCAAAAATAAGAACAGAAAGAAGGAAACATGATACTGTATAATCAATCATTTTCTAAATATTTTGGACCAAATTACCCATGAATTCTTAGGTCAGAATCAGTGTATTCTTACACAATAAATGTCAGCATTTAATTTAAAAATGTATCATGATAATCATCAACCTAACACAATAGTGGAAAGAAAAGTGACAATCTCCATGCACCATTAATCACCCAGCATCAGTCATGATCAACTCAGGGACAATCAATCCCATGCCTGCCTCCTACCACATAGCCTCCTCCAAAAATAATTTCATCAGTAAAGGAAAAGCTGTTGAAAACAACCACAGTTTGGTCTGGAGACATGGCTCAGCTTCTAAGAGTACACACTACTCTTGCAGAGGACCCAAGTTTGATTCCTAGCACCCATGTCAGTTAGCTTACAGCCACTTGAAACAAAAGCTCCAAGGAATCTGAAACCTCTGGCCTCTGCATATGTGTACACACACACACACACACACACACACACACACACACACTTTTTAAAAGTAATTTTTTAAAACAATAACCACGTTATGAGGCCCGAAGCAGTGCATTTTTCTTTATAATTTCATTCATGGTTCTAGAAAGTTAAGATTCAGA